GTGGCCGCTTGTGAAGCTACAGGAACCCCGGTCGCGGCAGCCAGAGGAGAAGGAGCCTCCGAAGGAGCGACAGGTTGCGCCACCGAGGTTTCCTCTCTTTCGTCGGGGCCGAACATCTCCAGGAACAACGCTGCGCGGTCCTCGGAAGTCTCGGACTCATGAGGCGACTCACCGCTAGGTGAACGGTCTGGCGGGCCGCCAGAGCCCTCGGTGACCCCAGCAGCCGATTCTCGAGGGGCACGGCCGACGCCGGCTGTACCAGACGAGACTGGCGAAGGAATGGTAGTCGCCGCCGAAGGCGAAACCTCGGATGGAACCTCGATGACAGTACCGGAAGGCTTGGTAGCAGAACCTTGAACACCCTGAGCGCTGGCCGACACCCCCGGAATCTCGCCGGGCTCAAGGTCATCTTGTGAAGTGTCGCTAGGACTCATACCCCCTCCAAACTCCACGTCAGACGATTCCTGCTGCTGGGCTGGGGCTGGCGAGGGAGGCGAGGCGCGACGGGCCAGCCGAGGATACAAGGGGACGTCTGAGTGTTCGTACGGGAGAGGCTGAGACTCCAACCAGCTTGAGCGAGCCGTCGTTGGACGCACCATCGACCGAGGAGGCGGGGAAATCTCTCCTGATGCCGAACGAGGACTAGATGGCGCGGCGGCCGCTGCAGCCCTGGCCCTCAGGTCGACTGACGGTCTGCCGAAGCGTTTGTGAGGAGGAGACTGGGATGCCGTATTCCCGACGGAAGCAGACTCGGTTTGCCGACCCCGCTTGCGCGATGACGACCGGGGAACCAGCAGAAGCGCCCACCGAAGCAGCGAAAGCGGACGTAGCCTCGGTGGACTCAGCCATCGGCACGTCGGTCGTCTTGGACTCCTCTCCCTCCTCTGACGAGGATTCGTCATGGCGTCAACTCTCGACAGTGACCGTCGGTGGGGACAGCCCGAGAAGATTCCAATCAATCTCTGCGGCGGAGATGCCGGCTGAGGCCAGGGCCAAGGTGTCGACGTCGAGTCCGTGTGCGGCCGAGTGCCGACGAAGGATAGAAATCGCTCGCCGCAAGCTGTTGTTCTCGTCCGTCAACGCTTGAATGCGTGCGGGGATGACGTTTGCTCGGTCGCGGTCGGCCAACTGCTTCCGAAGCCTCTCCAACTGAGTGTTGTAGGTAACGAGGCTTGCACTTATACGCTCGTGGAGCTGGGTGTTCCGACGTACAGCAGCGGCCGAATCGGCCTCAGCAACGAGCGTCCGCTTCTCCAACGACTGAGTGACGTCAGCGTGGTGAGCGATGGCCGCGTTCGCTTGCATCAACTGAGCGCTGGCGTTGCTGAGCTGGACGCGCATGTCCTGGACGAGGTCCAGAGCTTGGTCGCACTCGGAGTTGGCCGAGACGAGGAAGTAGTCCGACTTGGTCCGCAGGTTCATCTCTTCAGCGAGTTTATCTTTGGCGTCGGAGAGCTCTGCCTGCAGCCGGTCGTTCTCGCGGCGGAGGGCCACCAGTTCATCAGCCTTCGCAAGAGGGAGACGCGGAGGAGCAACGGCGGCAGCCAGCACCTCACCGACGTTAGTAGCAGCTTGCAGGCTGTGGTCGAGAGCAGCGTTGACTCGAGCTGGAGGTGAACGGGCAACATCCACGACGAGACGAGCGAGTTCCAGCATCTGCTGCTCGCCCAAGACGACCGCTGTCGGAGGAACCTCGGCCGGGCCAGCACCAGCACCGGCGCGACCCCCTACAGCTGCCTCGCCCCCCACCGACGCCCCGCGAGTTTCCAACGTGACCGAAGGCGCGGGAGTTGGCGACGGTGGAGCGCTGGCGCTTGGCGGCGGTGTCGGCGGCGAGTCGGGAGCCTCTTCACTGGGAACTGCCGGCGAGGGAGTCTCGGTCGCCCCAGCAGCAGACTCAGGATTACTTGGAGGAGCCGGTGGAGGGTCAACCGAGGTCCCGGAGGCGGCAGGAATGAGCGTAGGGTCACCTGCAGGCGCGGCCGGGGCTGGGGGCACAGCACCAGCGGCGATAGGGGCGGGGGCACGCGCCGAACGAGCCTGGCGCGCCGGACGACGACCCGAAGTGTCGGTGGCGACATCAACAGCTCCCTGAGATGATCAAGAAAGAGATGGAGTCAACAACGAGGGTCCGAATTACAGTGAGGAGCAGCGGGAGCGATGAACGTACCGGTCCGGAGCACTGGAGAGCCCGAAGAGCAGCGGCAGCCGCGTCGGCGAATGCACGCGACGGAGGAGCCATGGAGTCGAAGAACTGAACACGCCTAGACGCTCACCAGCGTGGGAGGCTCGCGTCGAGGCGGGGGCAGTTGTGGTATTGGAAAGTGGCAGTTTCCAACGTTGTTGACCCGCCAGCCCGACAATCAAGTTCAATCAAGGGGCGATCAAGGCGAGGTCAAGCGAGAGACGGAGATGGCTGCTTCTGATTGGATGATGACATTATCCTCGGTAGAGTGACAGGCAGTGGCCGAAGCCTCGTCGGGGCCTAATAGAACCCCGAACGAGGCTTCATGGTACCCACTTTTAGGTACAGATGCATTTAGTTACGTACTTCGGCCGCACTTATTAGTGTAGCCGCGGTCGTCATTTGATGTGTCCGGAATCGCCTTATTGCGATCGTTCACACTAGATATTTGTATAGGGACATAGGACTCATCATAGGATGGCCAGAACGAGCCCCCCAGGGCCTCAGAAAACTCAGTAATAAAAAGACAGTCTTCCCCCAAAGCCAACAAGGGTCAAGTCCGACTTCGGTAAGTGTAGCTAGCTTATTGTAGTGCCTGGACACACTCGGCTGCGTGTCGATGCCTGTCGGGGAGCTTATCGTGCATTGACCGAGAGTTTCCTTGGCAGCGCCAAGAGTTGGCGTGGCCGGAGAGGCAGGAACGGTATTAGAGTATCGTTCGGTATATATTTGTGGGATTAGAGTATCCCTGAGTGTATTAGTCTACCTACCGAGGTTTTACCTTGGTCCCCCTGTATAAGGCCTAACACGCCGGTACCCTTCCTTTCTGAGGGACTGCAGTGGGGTTGCGCGAAAGCGCTACATAGTATCCTAGCCTTAGCTCGTGGCTAGTGGTACAGGTTTTTGGGTTAACCGAAGCCAATCTAAGGTGCACAGAGGCGCTTGAAACCGACCCGGTGTAAGGGATCGTTCCTGGTCTTCAGGTTTTGATCCAATAAGCGCTTACCTTTGCGGGTTAGCGTGTTGTTGGTGTCTCTAATACCTTTTGGTAGAGGAGGATTTTAGTGGAATTACCACACCACAGCCGAATACAATTTCGTGGTGCACTACAAGCCCGGCAAGAACAACATCCTAGCCGACGCGCTGTCCCGCCGACCAGACTACGACCTACGACGACTAGTCGGTCAGCAACTTGCTGACGACGATGACGAAGATGAAGGCTGCGCATGTTGCATCGCTCTGGGTATCAACGCTACGGTTACAACTCCAGTCCTGCCACTGCGCCAGCAGATTGCTGATGCGTACGGACACGATCCTTTCTACGCCAACATCATTGCGCACCTCCGTACTCCGAGTGCAGAGTTATTGAAGAAGCTGACACGCCCTACGCGCAGTCACATCGAGCGATACCAGCTCGATGGCCCATTGCTGACATACACAATGGACGCCTTCGATCCTCCGCGCGTCGTCATCCCCGCCGATGACGACCTTCGTGCTCGTCTCGTCCACGAGTATCATGACGCTCCAGTGGGTGGCCACTTAGGCCGCGAGAAGACGTTCGCGGCGATCTCGAGGGACTTATATTGGCCTCGGATGTACAAGTGGATTCGCAAATGGGTTCGGACTTGCGAGACTTGCCAGCGCGCCAAGCGAGCTCCATCATGACAAGCTCCGCTGCGCCCGTTGCCTATCGCCACGGAAACGTGGCGATCTGTCAGCATGGACTTCGTATTCGGCCTTCCATCGGACGACCACGGCCGCACGGGCGCCCTTGTCATCGTCGATCGCTTCAGCAAGATGGTCTGTCTTGCTCCTGTCGAAGCCCAAGTGACATCTGAGGCGACTGCGTCCCTGTTCCTCGACCTCGTATTCCGGCATCATGGCCTGCCGGAATCCATCGTCTCTGACCGCGACCCTCGCTTCGCATCGACCTTCTGGGATCGATTGTTCGAACTGCTTGGCACGCGCTTGTTGATGTCGACGGCAGCTCATCCTGAAACGGATGGGCAAACGGAGCGCTTCAATCGAGTCGTTGAAGATGTCCTTCGCAGCTACGCCACGTCGTTTCCGTCGTGGAGTACGTTCCTGCCGCTCGCTGAGTTCGCTATCAACAACGCAGTCCATGCGTCGACAGGTTTGACGCCGTTCTTATCAACAACGCGCGGCAATTGCGCGTTCCAGCGACGCTCGCCTTCGTCCGGCTCCGCGCGCTCCACTCTTGGTGGGGGTGGAATGGATGCAGTGCCGAACCGCCCGGCACTAGTGTCGAGTGCAGCCGAGCCGCGAGGGAATAGCAGCAGCACTGTGGCGTCAGTTCCACCGGTAACAGAACCAGTGGGCGCGGAAATACCGGTTACGGCAACGGATGCCATGTGTGGAATTGCATCAAGGACGCGTTCGAAGGCTAGAAGATCGACCGACACTGCGCCCGCATCTGACCCTGCCGGGTCACCGGTGGCCAACTTCGCCCCACGCGAAGCTGATTCGCCGATCGACTCCGCAGCGGTATCGGAGTTCATGCTGCGTCGTCAAGCCATCACGAGATTCGTGCGTGATGCGCTGCAGTCTGCTGTGGACAAGCAGAAAGAGTACGCAGACCAGCGAGGCCGGAAGAACACGAGCTTCTTCCGCAAAAGAGACCGAGTCCTGCTGTCAACCACCGGAATCCAATCGACAGCAATTACAAACCTTGGCGCGAACAAGCTGGCGCCAAGATACATCGGTCCATTCAAGGTTATCAAAATGCTGGGAGACGGCTACACGCTAGACATACCGACTGCTATGCGTCTCCACCCGACGTTCTACGTCGGGCGCCTCAAACCGTATCTTCCTGCTGTTGTCCCCGACTCCCGTCCTCAGTGCCGCGGGCGGGCTTGTAGTCCGATCCCCCATGACGTCGACGCTGACGCCAGCTTAGCCCAAGTCCCTGACGCTCATGCGCAGACTGTTCCGCCTGCGGTGCCCCGAATGCAGCCCTCTCCAAACGACGGAGGCGCTCCACCAGCGCGAGTCGATCACGCTGAGACTCTTCCGCCACTGCCTCGGCCGCGCTCGCCCGAGTGCGAGCGCTCTCCGCAAGGTTCTGCGCGTCCAGCGCGTCGTTCCGGACCTGCTCCGCCTCGGCTATCATTATCCGGTACTGCTCGATCGTCACCCGCGGCACAGACGCAGCAGGATCCGAGCGCGCAAGTAGCTGATGAGTTGACGTGGCCGACGAAACCGACGAAACCGGCGGCTGTTCGAGTCGAAGGGTCGCGCGCGACGTTTCGCCCCCCCATGTTTCGCCCTACCGTCGCGATGGTCCACCCCCGCTGATTAACGCAGCTGGCGATCAGCGCTGGATTACCGAGCGAATCGTAGACCATGACGTCCGCCGGAGTCGCGCGGAAGGTCCTCGCGATAGTGATGCGCCGTCGAAGCCGAAGAGAAGCCACGCGCGTACCCCTGAGAAGCACTATCGCGTCCGCTGACTGGGATATTCGCCAGCGGAGGATACGTGGGAGCCACGTAGTCGCCTGCTGCAGGATATCCCGGATGTTGTGCGCGAGTATGAGGCCACACTCGCGCTGGCGAAGACGAACGATGACGCGCTGGAGAACCGCGTCCTCGCGAGCGACTGCGCTCGCGTGCCCCAGCCGAAGGCCACCCTCGATCACGACTGCGGCTGCGACGAAACTCCGGCGAAGGGTCGCGGCGGTTTCGGCCGCGACTATCATGACGATCACGGCTTCGAGAGCGCTCACGTCCACGGTGTAGGCGCGCTTGCTCCAGCTCCGAGCGCGAGCGCTCGTAACGATCGATCCAGCGCCGCTCGTCTTCCGAAAGAGGCCAAGTCCGCACCTGGTTCTCCCATTGATCCCGCGTCGGCCGATCACAGGTCGCTGCGCAGTTCTCGCAACCTTCGACAAGATGAACGTAGCAGAGGCGCCACTCGCGCTCTGCCATGCAGCAAATGCTCTCCCGAAGATCCGTCATGGAGTGCTCGCCTCGCCGCTCCTCCCGCGCTTCGAGCCACGACGCGAACGGACGCCCTTCGCGTCGACTCGCGTTCCAGTGACGAATGAAGGCGCACCACGAACACTGGAGAGCGTCGTGCGTGTAGGCGTGGCTGGTCCCCTTGTTCTTCACTGCGCGGTACCGTGTGAAGTACTGCTTCATCGTGCCGATCTATTCCGGTTCTTCGGCTCCTTGGAGGCTGTAGAGCTCGCAGGCTTGAGCTCGTGGTCCATCGCGTGGGGCGCCGACACGAGCGACGGCGCCGGGTTCAGCGTCGGCCGCCCGCCGTCTCCGTCGCTTGAGCTCGACATCGCCATCGTCGCTCGGCGCGCGTTGCCGAGTGTTGCCGTCGGATCTTTCGCCGTTGTGAAGAGTGTATTCTCGAGAGTTCTGTGCCCGCGCTTAACCCACCGGCGACCGTTATCCCGATTTTGCTGGGATAAGAAAAATCTCGGGGGAAAGTGCCGTTTCAAGCCATACGGGCGTGGCGACCTTTCGAGATCCCGCTGACTTGGTTCTGGCCAATCAAATTGCTTCGCGGATTTCGTGCGCGGTAGGTCGATTCGCGCGCGCGAACTCGTTCGCGCCTTGATTGGGTATCATGCGTGGTTTTACGTTTGAAAGTGCAACGTGAGCGCTACATTTTAGCGCTTCAACCTAATGTAAATTTCTGAAAAATAGCGAGGGGTGCACCCCGGATTATCATCGCCAGTAATGTGGCCATACAGCCTCTGTATTTGGCGCTCACAGGCTCATACCTATTGGTGCATGTTTGCAAGTCTCGACTAAGGCCCCATGTGGTATGGGCTTGTCTTGGGTTGGCGTCGTACTGTGGACAATGCTGCCCATACTTTCACGAAGTACTTTACGCGTGAGCAGATGGGGAAGAAGATCATACCTTTTCCTAGACGCATGGCGTTTATGAGGCGCTGAGAGCTTGTAGATGTGATCACCGGGAATTTGCTAGGCACATACGCAGCGCGGATGGTCTTAAGCTTCTTGTATTGACCAGGCAAATACTACATTTGGTTGTGTTGGAGGTGGTGGGTATCCCATCGTACCGCCGCTGATGTTGGCGGCTAACGTAGAGATCCAGAGATGGATCCGCCCACGGTGCTTCTTCCGGTCTATGGCGTTGGACACACCCGGGCAAAACTGTTGTGCCAGCAGCTCTGCTAGAGACCACACGAAAATAATAACATGACGTTGAGGATTTACATATCTCGCCGCTTATCTATAAAGAAGACTCGATCTGAAGACAATGGAAACAAATTTTATTTCGGTTTGGTGTGAGCTAATGGAGCAGCGTTGATTGTGGCCAGGTGGTTATGTGTATTGACTTTTGTATGGTCAACCTTGTCAACGTTGCTTCGCCGACTTGGCAACATTGACACGCCTGTCTTGATTTGAATACAGTGATTGTCATGAGGAGATATTGATATGTTTGACTAGGTTTTGTATGGACTTTATGTCGTTATTAACTCCGATATGACAACATTGAGATGTTTGTCTTGGTTTCAGTATAGATCATGCAAACAAGTGGGTATATTGTTCTGTCACTCCGAAAATCTAAATATTAGCTCAAAATGGCACGAAACTCATTCGATCGCCAGCATGTTGCGCTGATAGCGAATCGACATGGCGTCTTCGTCGGGCGGACGGGGCACGGGGTCATGAAGTTCGAGTCGGCCTAGTTGGGGGCCACGGATATCGCGTCCGTGCCAGGCTAGTCGAGGGCCACAAGAGTACCGGTCATACTGGAACGGGAGCATTGAGTACATTGGGGCTTGCTCAAAACCGTGTGTATGGCCGTCCGAGTGGGGATGCGGGCATATTGACCATTTCGAACTTGTTGGGGGCGCCAGCATGGCGACGGCGCCGGTCATATCGTAGGTCACATCCATGGCGTCCATGCTGGCGTCCCGGATGACATTGACTGTGATGGCGGAGACGGCCATGATGGGGTCCTGGGGCACGGCGTCCGGGTCGAGAATGTCGGCGGCCTCGGGCGTGGCGTCGGATTCGGGCATGGCGGCGGCCTCGGGCAACAGGCATGGCGGGGGGGGGGGGGGGGGTCGAGCATGTCGGTGGCCTCGGGCATGACGTTGGCGGGGGCGTAGGGCATGGCGGTGTGTGACGAAGCGCCCGTGCTCTTTGCTCAGGTTGCTAAACCGCTCGACCGAGGTCTTCGCTCAGCCCTTGCACCACTTGACTCAGCCCTGCTTAGTGCTGAAAGAGTTCCGCTCAGCTCCTTCCACTGAGCGAACACTCCCACTCCGCTTCGCTAGGCTTAGCCGCTTGAACGCTTGGCTCAGCTCCGACTCGGGTCGGGTGAGGCGTGTGTTCCTCACTCTGCGATCCCCTTGGCGGTTCTTTTGATCACGGCTACGCTGAGGGCCCAGACTCGCGTCGGCCACACCAGCTGCTGTCGATGTTGAAGGTCTCCGGAGGTGTTCCCAGACGAAACTCGCTCCCCACTTGGCGAGTCCCAGTCCGCACGTGTCCACAGCCCGAAATGCCCCGGGTTTTCCTTAATGAACACAACACCACACACAATATAGCCTCCACTTCCTCTCTTTGGTTCCGGCTCAGAACCACAACACCCCTTCTTTCCCGGTCGGCCTGGGTCTGGGCCGAGTTCGCCTTTATTTCTCTGAACCTGGGCGAGGCTCGTACCAGCTTCTCCTTTCTTCTCTTCGAGTCAAGCAACGACCCGGTCTGGAGTTAGTGACTCGGTTTGAGCCTAGTTCGAATCCAAGGCACTCACACACACCCTGGGACTACCCGCGCACCAGGTCCACAATGAACCGATACTAATAATCACACAATGCACCGGGGCACGCCAATGTCCCCAAGCACACAATACAATTACCCTGCCTAAACCTCAGAATGGATCACCTTCCACCCGAAAATATGAAATACACCCTAAGATGTAACAGTAATATGAAATAACCGTACTGTCGTCGCACCGAAGCACTCTGACAACGTTGATATGTTAGCTTGAATTGTGTGGATGATCGCCAAGACACCTTCTGGCCAAAGACCTCCACCACTTGCGTCCGTCGGGGCAAAACGAACTCTGTTTAACTGTTTACACATGCACAAACTAGGACTCACTAAGTGGGGGCTCAATATCCACACTGACTGGCTGCGCGAAGAGCATCGGCTGTATGCTTACCGGGCGCCCTTGAAGATCCGCCCGATATCCTTGGTCTTGGCCAATGCGGCGGCTCCACGTCGGCGGGCGTCGTCTTGGAGCCGCTGGAGGCCGTTGAGATCCGCTTGAAGTGTCCGCGATCTTGGGCGGTCGCACCCAATGTAGGCTGGCTCATGGCTGATTCACCGGATGAGTGTACTCGCCGGTGCCACCAACTTCGCCGTCAGTACCACTGTCTGGACTTAAGTTCAGCGACTCTTCACCCGGCACTTCAACTGGACTCCGACAACTCCACTCAGGCCCATGCCACTCCGCTCGGCTTCTCGACTTGAGCAAAGACTTCAAACATCGCATTCGAGGCCGGGCTTGGACTCCACGTCACCCCGCTCAGACCTTCGATCCTCGCCCAGCTTGTCGACTTGGGTGAAAGCTCCATGACCACAGTAAAAGCTGGGCCGGGCTCGGCACGACCTCGCTCGGACGCCTGCTCCTCGACTCATCTCGGCATCTTGGACGACGGCTCCACAACCGCTGGGGAGGTTGAGTTCAAACTCCACCCGGCTCCGCTCAGCTCCTCGACCTGAGCGGGGACTCCGGTCATCACACTCGAGGCTCAGCTCAAACTCCGCGTAGCTTCTCTCTGCTTCCTGGACTCAGCTCAGACTTGGGATACCCAACACCAGACATCTCGGGTCTCAGACAATCTTCGCTCAAGCCCAGAGTCTGAGCGGAGCTCCGCCCAGACCTCGGGCTCAGCTTCCTTCGTCGCACGGCTCATGTCCGACAGTTGGTGGTCCAGATCCATCGCGGCCATAACGCACTTGAAATCTGCTTGATTGATACGGGTCAGCATCCTGGATTGATACGGGTCAGCTGGACATGGGTTCGGTGGCGAAATCCACCGAGACTTTTCACAACCGTCCCTTATGAGTGCCGGGTTCACGGAGGTCATTTCCGACTTGGATCCGGTGCCCATAACCCAGATGTCCCGCACTACCTCGTCCCACAACCGTCCGATCTTGCCGAACTTGTGGAGTGTAATCCCAAGCCATTTGCGAAATTCCAGTCGAGCGCAGAGACCGCAGTGGCAACTGCAGCACCAGCAAGTGCTGCGCTTCCGCGGCCATCCACCTCTTCTCGTCCGCATCCGCCACTTCCGCTGCCTCACGCCACGCATGACCGACTCGCAGCAGTCCGACGCGCCGCCCGCGGGCAGCGTAAATCAAGACCCAGCGTCGCAGGGCGCCCCCTCGGCTCCCGCAACGCTCCAGGCCTCGTCCAGCACGCCGTTGGCTGCTTCCGCCACGCCCGCGACCTCCGCGTCGCTGCAGAAACTGCTCGCGATGTCGTCAGCGCCGCCAGTGGCTGCGCAGAGCGCGCCCGCGGCGTCCACGTCCTCCATTTCGCCGGCAACGACGGCGGCAACCTCATCGGGCACGTCCTCGGCGCCACCAAGTACCACGAGCACAGCTACGGCCTGCTGCTACGTGCACCGTGTCGGCAGCTCCCAGCGGCACTCCGGCGTCTTCAGCAGTGACTACGACGGCTCCGGTGGCCACTACGATGGTTCCGGCGATTTCGGGCGACGCCACGGTGCTCGTGCTTCGTCCAACGCCTGCGATGCCGTCGCTCAGCGCGCTGCAGACGGCCCAGGCCACCACGCAGAGCGCACCGGCAACCAGCACCATTTCTGGATTGCTTCACGCCGTCGAGGCATCGCGCTATCAGACGGACCCCAGTCAGCGCCTACCGTACGAGCCGTGCCTCACACCTTGACACCAGCTCACACGGCCTGGTGTAGTGGTAATGCCGGCCACGATCGATGACCTTCGTGACGGCGCTCTTATCGCTGGTGCTGCTGATGGGCTGGGTTGTGTGCTGTAAGTTCCTCAGCTTTCCACACCTGAGCTCGACCGCTTGAGCGCTCTCATGGGTCGGGATGCTGCGGGCGACTTATTACAGCCTCGCTCAGCTCCTCCCCTGACATCACGGACCCCCGGATCAGAGCGGCCTTGGATCGCGAAATGATCCCGCTCGCTCAGAGCTACGGCGCGGATCAGCTTGCTTCTCGGTCGCTCAGGACCGTCCAGTACCTCCACCACACCGTGCAGTTCATCCAAGCCCTTGAGCAGCAGAGCTCGGGTGACGCGTCGACTTCCGGGGTGGCCGGGCTGACTGTCCGGTGCCAGCAGATGGCTCAAGCTCTCAAGCGCCAGAGCGACGTTCATAAAGCTGAGCTGCAGCGCCTTCACATGACACATACCGTGGCGCTTCAGGCCGCCGCAGCTGGCGCCTCAGCTGGTGTTACCGGAGGTCGACTCACAGACATTACTGCTGCGGCCGAGATCCAGAAGCTCAAGGACGACTTGGACAAGACGTTCAAGCTGCGGTCTCAGTATGCCAGAGAAAAGGGCGAGGCGGAGGACGCTCTGGAGGTATCAACCACGAGATTTCCTCGCTCGAGTCTGAGCTCCTTGGGCACAGAAGCGCATCGCTGAGCTCGAGGCACAGATCCATGACTCCAGAGCATTCGATCCCGGAGCTCTCTGTGACTTCCTGTTCAACAGCAGCGCCTTCAAAGGCAACTGGCGTCGGCTTCTCGAGCTCCTGCAGTCGTATCGAACTGGGAAACCTGCTCCTGCCAGCTATCGCACCACAATCCAAGTCTCGGCTCGCGATCTGGGCTTCGAGGACTCTGAGCCATATACGACCCAAGCTGCTCAGCCCAGCGCTGCTTCGGCGCCAGCCTCTTCGCCTCCGGGATCCGCTCAAGCGATCACGACTCCGACCAGCTCATCTCTGCCGGCAACCCCATTGCGTACGCCGCCGATGGTCAGCTTGGGCAGGTCAACTTCTGCCGGGTCCAGCAAAATCCAACGCAAGGCGCGCAAGTCGCTGCCTTTGGCTAAGGCCTTGGCTCCAAGCAGTTCGAAGAAAGCTCGGGGACTGAAGATCTAGACGAGCACTGCGCCCAGCTCAGCAGCCGCGCCGGAGACCGTGGACTTGACTCGCTCAGCTTCCAGCCCACCAAAGGCCAAGGCACCGATGATCAAGCCGTTCACACAGCGAATTGCGCTGCCTCGCCGCCCGACCAAGTTCAAGCCTGAGCGCAAGAACGCCAAGAAGGAATCTCCCAGCGCTCGTTCGGACCTGGACGCAGCAAAGGCTGTGCCCAACCAGTTCAGCTGGGATGGCACTCGCCCCGACGTCCAAGAGCTCATGTTGGCTCGCGTGGCGTTCTGGGATGCGGTGGATGAAGCCCAGAAGGACCAGATGCTCCACGACCAGTTCGGCAAGAAGAACTTGATCTACATGTTGACTTCACGGATGTACTGGGAGGCTCTGGACGACACTCCGTGGATGCAGTATGTCCCCGACAAGTACTTCGATGCAGCTGTGACCAGACTCCCGGCTCCCGGCCTGACAAGAATCCCAGCGCCCTGGCGGACCCTGCCCAAGAAACCAAGCGCAAGCGACTATGACTCGGATTCCTCGTTCATGTCTGTACTATCCTCAGAGGACACCGATGACAGCGACGGTGACCAGAGTTACTACGGGTCGAAGGCCAAGGCTCCCAGCTCCATCAGCACCAGATCTCAGAGTTCTCCAGCAGACAAGAAGCGACAGCGGAGTTCGACGTCTTCTGGGGGCAGCTCAGTGACCAAGCGCCAGCGCTCAGCCTCAGGGACCTCCGTGACCTCAGCTGACCCTGAGCCAGACGATGCTGAGACTCCTGAGGAGGGTGTCGATAATGGCATCATCAAGGCCCCCAAGAAAGGCAGCTGGTTTCACAACGGCATCCGAGTCCAGAAGCTGCACCATCAGACGATTGGTTTCCCAGCTTACATGCCATCCAAGACTGGGATCGAGCAGCTCCACAATCGCATCGAGTACGCGTATTATCTGGAGCTGCTCAGATCAGACCCCTGGGACGACATGTGGGATGGCCGAGTTGACTTCCTCGTCTACCACACGCATGCGGAAATCACTCCTGAGATGTGCGAAGCGGTCGTTGTAATTGCTGGGTTTATGAGTGCTTGGCGTCGAGCGTATTGGGAGCGACTCCACTGGTATCCGTTCCCGTCCAAGATCGACTACGTTCAGCTCGCCAAGGAACTGGGCCTGCCTGAGCTGGCCACCGTCTACCGAGAGCGCAAGGACCGCGCCCAAGAGTTCGAGCTTCGTCGCAGGGACTTGATCGACCAGCTCAGGGGCGTTAAGGGTTACTCGGACCGGATCTGGTTCGAGCCCGGACTCTGGGCTGTGCCCAATGATCCGTGCCACTGGATTCTCCGAGACCCAGATCTCAAGATCTCGCTGGCTGACCAACTCTTCACCCTGGACGGTCAAGAACCAGTTCGCACGCAATGGGCTACCCGCCGCTCGGACAAGCAGTTTGAAGCGATCGTCCCGCCTGAGCTCAAGTCCAAGAGCAGAGCCGAGCGGGAGGCGAACCCAATTATCCCAGCACCGGAGTACAACCACGACACGCTTGCTGAGGTGCTTCGCGCTCTGGAAGCCGTGCAAGACAAGGAGACTGAGAAAGCGTAGGCAACGAGCTTTCATCGCTATTTCTAATTCACCACTCGTTTTGGTACTTCTCGTCTCCTTCCCATTTATCTCAGGTCCTCGGCGCGCGTTCACGTCGCACTCATCCACTGTTCTCCACGATAAACTCCAAGTCAGTCTCCACATCACGTAGCATAGTCGTAAATTCACATAATACGAAGGGTTCACACATAGAACGTCACAGCGATATACACAGGTTCACAGCTGAGGTGCCTCTATTGAGCATCGGGCTCAGGAGGTTCATCCCCAGCTTGCATTGCTTGGAACCGTGCTTTCGCCTTGGCGCTCTTGTTGAACTCATACAGCAAAGCTCCACAACTTAGCTGAGACATGGGAAGCCACTCAGTGTCAGGATACCCCTTCCACTTGACCAAGTACTCTCGGACTCTCCGTGAAGTTCGGGTCCGCTTAACCCAGCGTACATCCTGGATGGCCTCCAGTTCGTACACATTCTGAGCTTCATCGGGTTCTTCAGCATCCTCAGGCAACAGAGCTGCGTCTAGATCATCATCCTCAGCGACTTCAACCTCAACTGTAGGTCGTTCCGGGAACAGGGCACGCGGCTTGAGTCGACTTATGTGGACCCAAGGATACAACTTGTACCCAGTTCCTTCGATCTTCAGCTTGCATCGGAAGTCATCTGAGGTCTCCAGAATCCGGAACGGACCGTGCCAGAGGTGAGCGAACTTCTTCGTGAGCCCAGGTTGCACTCGAGCCAGGTATAGCCACACGGCATCACCAACTTCGAAACCTTTCTTGAGTCTTTCAGACAACTCAGCCCAGATTTTTGTCTGAGCAGCCGAGCGTTTTACCTTGGCCTCAGCTTGTAAATCCTTAGCCCAGGCCTGAGCGTACTCGTACTCGCGCTGAGTCTTGCGACGCCACTCATAAGCAGTCCTCTGATCCAAGCCCGTCGGAGATGGCCCCAGCATGGCCGAAACAGTGCTATGAGGGTCCCAGCCGTGAACCAGGTAGAACGGCGTGTCGAGACGGGTGGCGTCAAAGTCGTGTTCAGAGCCCACATCAACTTCTCCACCTGGTCGTCCCAGTCGCTCTGATCTGGCTCAGCGACGTACGCTCGGATGGCTCGGACCACTGTTTGCACTGATCGCTCTTGCTGGCCATTTGCCTGGGGTCTGTACGCCAGAGTCGCACGCTGCCGACTTCCCAGCATCTCGCGGAACCTGGCGAACACCTCGCTCATGAAACGTGGATCACGGTCATGGCGGAGCAGAGAGCTCGCACCAAACCTCTGGGACACACACTCCATGTAGGCCTCAGCGACATCTTGAGCTGTGGTTAGACTCATCGGCTTGCACATGATGATGCCTGAGAATGCGCACTGGAACAGGAGCAGGAACACATTTCCACGGTCAGACTTGGGTAGATACGTAACGAAGTCCATAGAGACCACCTCAAAGGGCTTAGTCGCCAAAATGTTTCCCGGCGACGGCCCAGGGTTGGGCGGAGCTCCCTTGGCAGTGACACAATCCACACATTCCTTCACATAGCGTTCCAGATCCGCGTACATCCTCGGCCAGTAGTACTCCCTGCGCAGTCGTTCGAAGGTCCTAGTGATCCCTTAATGACCACCTTGGAACTCCTCATGGCTGAGCTGAAGCAAGTCATCTCTCAGCGCCGTTGGCACAACCAATCTCAGATTCCCAACTGCGTCTCTAGGCCTTACCGGAGTAGCTCGACTCAGATAGTACAGGACTCCTCTCGAATCAAGGGTGAACTGATCCATCATCTTGACCACATCTTCAGCTTCAGTAGCGGAGAGGTTCCCCAAGTCTCCATTCAGATAATCCTTGAGCTTCTTCGTCCAAGGCTCAGCCTCTTGCAGAACTAGGATCCGTCTCCATCGTTCAACGATTGACGCAGCAGGAGTTGCTGCTTCAGGTGAGTACACTGGAGCTTGCTCAGCGGGGGGCTCAGCATTCTGGTCAGGATCGATACCTTGGTCGGAGTCGCCCCTGGTTGCTGTAGTCTCAGCGTCCCTGGCCCGAGCTTGGTTCCTAGTCACCACGAAGATCTTAGCGCTGGGCAACAGGGGCTTGGCAGCATCTTCCAGTGGAATTGGCTTAGCCACCACTTCTACATCAGCTTGAGTGTCAGGTTGCTCCGTCTCAGGCTCAGCAGACTCAGCCTCATTCACCTTGATCAGCTTCTCCGGGATCCGATTCAGCTGCTTGAGCTGAACCAGTTCAACCGGGTCTTCAATAGCGACGGGACCTTGAATGACCAGAGTATTCGACGTGAGATAGTCCGCAGCTGCGTTATACTCACGCTTCACATGCACCAAGCGCAATCGCTGGAACTCTGGGCGAAGCGTCTCGAACTCAGCCAGCAGCACTTGCAGTCCTGGGCTCAGACACTGGATCAAACCCTGAGCTTGCTGAATAACAATCCGAGAGTCACCGACCACCACAAGGTCTGAGATGCCACGAGCTTTTGCCATGCGAATACCTTCGAGCAAACCATGGTACTCAGCATCATTCACCGTAATGCCTTCAAAGTGGAAACCTCGAGCTTCGACCACGTCCCAGGACGGGAGCTTCCACAGAATGCAACCAGAAGCACCAGAGCGGTCTGAGCGTTTGGCAGCTCCATCGAAACTGAGCAGCCACCCCTCGTAGCCCGCCTCCAGCATCTCCAGGCTGATCGGTGGGGCTCGGACAACTCGTCCCTTATCTGGGATAAGGTTCTCAGCGATCCTGTCCAACTGGTCTCGGGGGGTGATCCCAACTCCCATGACCGCGGCCAAACCATCTTCATCACGTTCGACCTTTTGAACCTCCAAAGGCCAGGGCGACAGCCGTGCAGCCCACTGCTCACAACGTCCCCCCAGCGATCGAGACTTGAACAAACACTTCAGAACAGAGTACCGGGTGTAGACCTTCAGCAGCTTACATCCGCTCAGCATCGAATAGAAGACTCTGAGAACCCGGAGCAACGCTACGACTTCCTTCTCAGCCGGGTGGTATCTGAGCTCCTGATCATGCAGTGCCCTCCCAGTGTATCGCACCGGGAAAATTACTCCGTCATACTCTTGGCCCAGCACCGCACAGACTGCCCAGGGATTAGCGTGTAGAATAATCACGAACGGCTTCTCCCTGTCCGGGTGTCTGAGCAGCGGGGTAGAGACAATGTTCTGCTTCAGGATTTCAAACGCCTCCTCAGCTCGGCCGAGATCACGTCCAGCTTGAATCTGCTCATCCGTCAACTCGTAGAGCACAGACGCTACAACCGGGAGGTCCTCAATAAACTTGTTGTAGTAATTGAGACTCCCCAGGAATGACTGCACTCCTTTCAGCGTCGACGGGAACGGCAAGTCCTTGACTCCCTTGGCGATCTTCGGCTTGGCTCGGATTCCCTCAGCTCCAATCTCGTGCGAGAGGTAGGAGATAGACTTCTTGCCAAACTCGCTCTTGGGCAAGCCTACCGAAATCCCCCCGTACCTCAGTCGATAAAGCAACCGGTCCAAGACTTCGCACATCTGGTCCCAGGTCTCTGCTCCATACGCGATGTCATCGATGTAGGAGCTCCGCCCCAGAACAGGACTCAGCTGAGGCGGGGCCGGAATATTTCGCCGGGACACGGTATTCTCCTCAGACAGAGGCGGGATTTCTTCCTCCTTAGCGGAGTCGTCCACCTCGATTCCTAGGAAATCCAGCACATCCAGGGATCAACTCGGACCTCCTCGCAGGGCGGAAGTCGCACGAAGCCCCACAGACAGTTATCGAGCATCTGCTGGTAGATCAGCGGGGCTTTCTTGAGACCAAACGGCATGCGCTTCCACTGGAAGTGCCCCAAAGGGCACATGAAGAGATCAGCTTAGCCCGGAGTGTCATCGGCACCGCCCAGAACCCGTTGGCCATGTCCAAGCTCAGGAACCACATCGCTTCCTCAAACCCGATCAACAGGTCGTCAATCAAGGGCAGAGGGTAGTGTGAGAGCTTGATCAGTTGGTTGACCAGTCGATAGTCGATGCACAGCCTGATGTCCACACCGTTCTTCTTCATCACAATCACAATTGGCGAGGCCCAGTCTGAGTGCGAATACTCGATGAGCCCAGTCTCCAGCAACTTCTTGATCAGAGCAATTACCTTGTCGAGCAAGTGTGTCGGGACCTGCCGAGACCTCTGAGCGATGGGCTTCGCGTCCCCAACATCCAAGTCACAGACAACTCCACGGGCAGGGGCCGGTACTGCATTCCCGTCCCCGAGAAAACTGGCATGATGTCTTTCCAGAATCGTCCGCACTTGAGCGTCCATTTCTGGAGTCGTAACGCCTGGTTCTCCCACGTTAGCCGTTGAGAGGTCCGCATTTGGACTGGGATCCTTCAACTCCGGAAGAGCAGCGAGCTGGTCCCGGAGGTCATTCAGCAATTCCGTGCCTTCATAGAAGTACACCGTAGTTTCATCGGCGTCCTCACTGATCTCACCTCTGAGACAACGAGCATACGTTTCCTGAAGATGAGCAATTGGATCAGACACGAAGTCGGTCGGCTCAGTCCTGAGCACTCGCTCCAGCTCGTTCCGAGCTTCTTGGGCATTCACACCACCTCCAGCAGGAGAGGTTTGAGCTGAGCTTGACTCCGAGGAACTTGGCTCAGTCGCAGACTGAGTGTCAGCTCCCTCCGATGTGCTTCCTTGGTTCGTCCCTGACTGCACATCATCCGGGTGAGGCGATCGCGGCAGCGGCGGCTTCCATGAGGCAGGACGTCCCAGATGTGTCCGGGCCATCTTGACTTGAGCGGTCTCAGGCGATACCGTATTGGTGGCGTACGCCTCAGCTCTCCGCTGCTTCATGTTGGCTCGGTCTTCCTTCGGGTCATCAGACTGCTTCAGCAGCAGCAGCAGCAGCTTCATGGGTCGCTTATAGTCTGGCCTCTCCACAGCGGGTGGGGCATTGATCTCAGCTAGCCGAGCCGCTTCCTCTTCTCGTCTCAGAGAGTCCGGAGAGGGCTCGGCTTCGTA